TGCCCACATGTACATCACCACAGTGCCTACATGTACATCACCACAGTGCCCACATGTACATCACCACAGTGCCCACATGTACATCACCACAGTGCCCACATGTACATCACCACAGTGCCCACATGTACATCACCACAGTGCCCACATGTACATCACCACAGTGCCCACATGTACATCACCACAGTGCCCACATGTACATCACCACAGTGCCCACATGTACATCACCACAGTACCCACATGTACATCACCACAGTGCCCACATGTACATCACCACAGTGCCCACATGTACATCACCACAGTACCCACATGTACATCACCACAGTGCCCACATGTACATCACCACAGTGCCCACATGTACATCACCACAGTGCCCACATGTACATCACCACAGTGCCCACAGGTACATCACCACAGTGCCCACATGTACATCACCACAGTACCCACATGTACATCACCACAGTGCCCACATGTACATCACCACAGTGCCTACATGTACATCATTTCTTGCCACCCTGTCAGTGGAAATGTTCCTTTCGTCACCCATGTGTGACTGACGCGTCCATTTTCTTCCACAAAACACTACTCACTCTGCGGAGACGTCCCCCCACATTTCATAACACCTTCTCTTCCCTTATAAACATTTCTCACTCCATGGGACCAGCAGGTTCGTCCCCCCCCCCCTACTCTGCGCTCCAGCATAAACGGTGTATATGTATTGTTTCGTGGTTTACGTAGACCTGTTTTCCTGAAGTGGCTGAGACTTCTCTGATCTCTCGTGTTGATCAGGAGACGTGATGACGTTTCGCAACAGTCATCTAGGGCTCGTTGCTCTAAGCTAGCACTGTGCACTAAGCTAGCACTGTGCTCTAAGCTAGCACTGTACTCTAAGCTAGCACTGTGCTCTAAGCTAGCACTGTGCTCTTAGCTAGTACTGTACTAACCTATTTACGCCTAACCAATTCGACTTATTGATGCCTCTAACACTGATAAAACTCTTTCCGACATCTGTGTAACATATTTGTGTCTCAGGTTTCCATCTATGCCTCCTAGTTCTGATGTTCCTAGAGTTTAACATTGCTACTTTGTCTTCTTTGTCAGTTTCCCTTAGAATCTTATACGTTGTTATCATGTCACTCTTCTTTTACATTGTGGTAAATTCTAGCTCCTCGGTCCTTCCTTGTTGCTCAAACCCGTCAGCTCAGGAACAAGCCTCGTTGCATGTGTCTGGACCGTTTTTGTGTGCGGGAAATAGGACATAAATTGCTATGTGAGCGAACATATATTTTGACGCTTGCAACAAATGGATACCGCCAGCTGCATGTCCAGTGCTCCCACACTGAACAACTGTACTAATAAATCTCTATAGAAAGTTGAAGAGAAGACTGTGCACTACATTTATCACTAACATCTTGTCTAAGATGTGTGTTACACCCTCTTCAGCGGAACGTGGGGTCCACCGTGCTTAAATGCACATCTGTATGCCTCGTTGTATGAGTTCCGTGAGTGTGTGGTGGGACAATGACTCCTGACCTTTCTTGAGGGCGGCGTGTGAGTAATTACCCACTTCTTGGTGATTAATGCCCGGGCTGAGGGTGACGGGTCGGGCGCCTGGTATTATGAGCGGGTCGTCTACCACTTTCCCCTCCCTCCCTCCCTCTTACCTTCCGGTCGTACGGTAGGGAACTGCGTCCCTTCCCTCTCCCTCATGTTGTTCCCTACACCTGCAGCCCTGGTAACCTCTGCCCCCCCTGTCTCATGTTACACAGTGGTAAATGATTTAGTAACACATTACGCGGGGACCACGGCGGGACATACCAGAACATGATGGTGATATAGTGGTCACAACCCATAATAGGAACACGCAGGGAACAACACGTGAGGAGTGATGTCACACGTAACATGTCACCAGAAGCCACCAACAACCTCATGTCACCAGAAGCCACCAACAACCTCATGTCACCAGAAGCCACCAACAACCTCATGTTACCAGAAGCCACCAGCAACCTCATGTCACCAGAAGCCACCAACAACCTCATGTCACCAGAAGCCACCAACAACCTCATGTCACCAGAAGCCACCAACAACCTCATGTCACCAGAAGCCACCAACAACCTCATGTCACCAGAAGCCACCAACAACCTCATGTCACCAGAAGCCACCAACAACCTCATGTCACCAGAAGCCACCAACAACCTCATGTCACCAGAAGCCACCAACAACCTCATGTCACCAGAAGCCACCAACAACCTCATGTCACCAGAAGCCACCAACAACCTCATGTCACCAGAAGCCACCAACAACCTCATGTCACCAGAAGCCACCAACAACCTCATGTCACCAGAAGCCACCAACAACCTCATGTCACCAGAAGCCACCAACAACCTCATGTCACCAGAAGCCACCAACAACCTCATGTCACCAGAAGCCACCAACAACCTCATGTCACCAGAAGCCACCAACAACCTCATGTCACCAGAAGCCACCAACAACCTCATGTCACCAGAAGCCACCAACAACCTCATGTCACCAGAAGCCACCAACAACCTCATGTCACCAACTAGCAACATTTACCAGGGTGGCCAAATAACTGCCTCTAAAAATCTAAACTAGGAATCATTAAGAAGCGTGCATGCCACTTTTCTGGAGCCAATTCTGAATATTACAGCACCAGTGTGAAGTCCTGTATAAATGAGTTATACCACCTGACTTGTCCTAGACCTGCGAGATACAATATGCTCTCTACAGTATGGTGTAGTCACCACAGTATGATGTAGTCACCACAGCATGATGTAATCACCGCAGCATGTTGTAGTCATAATACAACAATTTCAGCATCACAGTTTAATGTAACTATCAATCATATTGATTCTGCACCAGAGATTTCGGCGAGCAGTGTTGCCAACTTCAGAGGGCGAAGACTAGGTAGGTTTGGAAACAATTTGTTTTTTGTTTTGTTTTTTTACCGATTACCAGCCAGCAGTGTTGCCACTCTGGTCTGCCATACCGACCATCGGGAGAACAAGTAGACGATGTGAATTACCATCTGGTAAACAAAGGCGAGGAAAATTAGCTGAGGATGTTGGTGGGTGGCCGATGTGAAGGAAGAAATTTCTGAGAAGTCTCGTACATCTTCCACTGGCCATTGTCTCCTCCCAGATGATCTTACTGCCATAATTAATTGAGCTCGGTGGTTGGGGGAACAGTGTTCATGATGAGCTTTGCCTCGTGCCTAATTGCCCTCAAGGATCACACTTTTAAAACGGGATAAGAGCCTCACAGCTGACAGTTGCGTCACTGTGGCTCCAGTATCGAGCCGGCGTCTCATTTGCTGGACGCGGCTTGCGTCACTGTGACGTCACTCGTGACGTCATGGCTATAGTGTCTTGCGTATTCGCTTACTCTAGGATTTATGAAGCCCGGTAATGAGTAACCATCTCTCTTGATGAAACCTAAACCCTTAAATCTATTGTAGAATATTAAAAACTAATTAGAGAAATACAACACAAAGTTAAAACGCTGTTGACTGATTATTAAACCTAGACGAGACACGACAGTTTCGCAGAGAGGAAAGTTATCCAGTTTCATCATAGCATCTTTCAAAATGTTTATCTGAAAAATGTTTGACATATTACTCCGTGGTGGCGGTGTGAGACGGGCGGCGTGACCACCTGCACCACCACGGCCTTAAACATTGATGAAGATTAACCCGGGGGCTTAATCTTCATCAATCAATTAATCAGCTCCAGTCTTTTAGTCCGGCCCAAGGTGCTGAGCGTGAGCCTAAGGTGGACCTTATAGTCTCTTGGTGAGTGGTGGACCTTATAGTCTCTTGTTGAGTGGTGGACCTTATAGTCTCTTGGTGAGTGGTGGACCTTATAGTCTCTTGTTGAGTGGTGGACCTTATAGTCTCTTGGTGAGTGGTGGACCTCATAGTCTCTTGTTGAGTGGTGGACCTTATAGTCTCTTGTTGAGTGGTGGACCTTATAGTCTCTTGTTGAGTGGTGGACCTTATAGTCTCTTGGTGAGTGGTGGACCTTATAGTCTCTTGGTGAGTGGTGGACCTTATAGTCTCTTGGTGAGTGGTGGACCTTATAGTCTCTTGGTGAGACCAGAGGGGGCTCGGCCCACAGTCATGGGAACACCAGTCCAGCCTTGCACTTGCTAAGACTATTATAGTGTATTACTAAGTGCATCAGACGAGTTGTATACGTATCACTATAATTATTATATATTTGCATTGTATATATATATTTGTTGATACTATTATTGTGATTGTTATTACAGTTTCGCTTAACGTTGCTGCTCTAATAACAATAACAATTAAATATACGCTGAACATAATGGACAAAAAGTAGTGTTTTATCTATACTAATTAGCAGTTGGTGTTGTTAATGAACAAGTCGTTAGTGAACATGTTGCACACTCCGTCCCCTACTCATTAGCAAGCCTTTGTAATTGCAAGTAGGAAATGCCTGCAACATTTAAATATAGAATAGAGCATTATATATATATATATATATATATATATATATATATATATATATATATATATATATATATATATATATATATATATATATAGTGCATGTAATTATTTTAAATGTACCAAATGGCGTGATGGGACGAGTTAATTGGCTCGTAATGATGGAATCGAAAGCTGTTAGATGCAATCTAACAAATTGAACAAATATAATTCTTTACGAACGTTATGTAGCCTATTGCTTCCTGCATTAGCCAGACTTCCGTCAAGCACATTGTGCGCCACTAGTAATTATAGTTTAAATAATAACAGTAATAATAAAATAATATGAATAATATTAACAATGTTATTAATATTATATATATATATATATATATATATATATATATATATATATATATATATATATATATATATATATATATATATATATATATATATATATATAATAAAAAGTCATTCTAAACTGTGTAAATGCAATTAAATTCCTGCCGTTTAGTGAACACTTTTATTAAATATTATTGTACTCCGTGTTTTATAAATTAATATTTAAATAATAATCAACAATATTTTATACCCATGAAACGAAGCAGTAATCGTCACCACCTGATTTATGATGTATGTGAGAAATGTTGTATGCTGTGGCCCGGTGAGGGAGCTTGTGTATACTGTATAAGGGAGGTTGTGTATACTGTATAAGGGAGGCTGTGTGTACTGTATGAGGGAGGCTGTGTATACTGTATAAGGGAGGCTGTGTGTACTGTATGAGGGAGGCTGTGTATACTGTATGAGAGAGGCTGTGTATACTGTATAAGGGAGGCTGTGTATACTGTATGAGGGAGGCTGTGTATACTGTATAAGGGAGGCTGTGTGTACTGTATGAGGGAGGCTGTGTATACTGTATGAGAGAGGCTGTGTATACTGTATAAGGGAGGCTGTGTATACTGTATGAGGGAGGCTGTGTATACTGTATAAGGGAGGCTGTGTGTACTGTATGAGGGAGGCTGTGTATACTGTATGAGAGAGGCTGTGTATACTGTATAAGGGAGGCTGTGTATACTGTATGAGGGAGGCTGTGTATACTGTATAAGGGAGGCTGTGTGTACTGTATAAGGGAGGCTGTGTGTACTGTATGAGGGAGGCTGTGTATACTGTATGAGAGAGGCTGTGTATACTGTATAAGGGAGGCTGTGTGGTATTCCTTGTATTATGTATGTATGAGGATTGTATAAATGTTTGGGAAAAATTGTTGGGACGATGCGAATGCTGTGTGGAGGTGCAAGATGGCCGGAACGCCTGCTTAGACTTGTTCGATAGCCGGTTCTGCCTCTCTGCTGTTGACCTTGTTCCGGGCCAGTAGTTGACCTTTGATGACCTGGGTGATCCTCTGGAGGTCAGTGACATCGGTAATGGGTTGATGGTTAACTTTCCTGATGAAAGCGCTCGGTGGGCCTACCTGGCTCCCTCCGGCAACCCGGGGGGGCGCCGTCACTGTGGTTGAGGTGCGGGTTGTGGTGGTGGTGGTTGACGTGGGGGCGGTGGTGGTGGTGGTGGAGGCAGTGGTGGTGGTGGGGGTGGTTGAGGCGGTGGTGGTGGTAGGGGCGGTGGTTGTGGTTGACGGAGTAGTAGTGGTGGTGGAAGCAGTGGTGGTTGTACGAACAGGGATCGAGGTCTTGGTGGTGGTAGTAGTAGTAGTAGTAGTAGGTGCTCTGGTGGAGGTACTGGTTGAGGAAGTCTTGGGTATGGAGGCAGTTGTGGTTGTGGATGCTCTGGTGGTTCTGGACTTGGTGGTGGAGGCGGGGGTGGTGGTGGTGGAGATTGTGGTGGTTCTGGTAGTTGTGGTGGTCTGGGCGTGGTGCTGGCCGATGATCTGCTGGGCGGACTTGGAGTTGTTGCACATCACGTCCGGCACGTCAGTCCTGTAGGTACAGTGCCTGTACCGGAGAGAGGTAGCGGAGAGGTAAGTCAGAGTCCACACACACACACACTCACACACATACACACCACACACACACACACACACACACACACACACACACACACACACACACACACACACACACACACACACACACACACACACACACACACACTCACCTCCTGACGGGGTGGAAGCGGAGCTCGCCGGTGCAGGAGTACCTCCTCCTCACCAGGCCGCCGCCGCCCTGCGCTGACGGGTGACATCCGAAGAACTGCAACATGCATCACTCGGGTTAATAACGCAACATGCAACATAACCTTAACGCGCCAAGCAAATCAACATTAGTAACTAACGTTAAGCAATACAACATTACTAAACGTTTACCAACGTTAAGCGATACTACTTTATTCAATAACATTACCAATTTAAATTGTCAGCAAAACAAAACAAAAACGAACATTATCAATCGAGTAATTATTTAATTATATTAAACAAATATTAAAAAACAAAAACAAAGTCAAAACTTATAAACAAGATACTAGGCAAGCAAAGCAAAGACGGGGAATAAATTCAAACTCAAAAAATGGCAGCAAAGTCGACTAAACTGTGACTTAAAACTTGACAAAATATTGTCAGATGGAGGTTAATGCTGACAAATTTAGAGTTCTAGGCCTATACAACTATAGTAAGGTTACCAGATATCGCTGGAAAGTTTTGAAATTGTCAAATTTTAATACCAAAAATACCCGTCAGCTTTAGTAGCCTAGCATCTCGTGCAGAGATTAATATTCGAAATATGAGGAATAGGAGTCATAAGAGGAAGTGTAGTGGACATAAACACTTTAGTATGAGCAACAAGAGAGAGAAATGACAGTTAATCCCAGGCATTAAGAACCTCCCATGTGAAAAAAGATTAAGAATGGTCTTTTGTATAAACTTTTAGAGATGGTTAGAGAATATCGGAGGACATAATTGAGGAATACAAATGGACGAAAGTGCTTATAACAAGGGGAATATTAGCAGGGTATTAAGTATATTAAATAAAATACAGATTTGGCCGAGTGCCTAACTGGCAGTACAGGCGTTACCCGGACTGATGTTGCAGACGCCGCTGATGGGGTCGCCTTTCCTGCCGGTCGAACCTCCCAATAAAGTTTGTGTTACCCGCCATTCTAGCCGGTCATTAACTCCGCTATCCGCAACGCTTGGCAGGACAGATGGTCACCTATTACGGATAACACACTGCCTCATATTAAATGGCTTTCCTCCTGCCACCATTTTAGGGGATAGGAGAAAGGCAAAGTGTTTTCGCTAGGCTGTGTAATAAGGCAAAGTGTTTTCCCTAGGCTGTGTATTGACCTCACGCATTTAACTCCTGGCCACTTAATGGCAACATGCACTTATAACTCCTGGCCACTTAATGGCCACATGCACTTATAACTCCTGGCCACTTAATGGCCACATGCACTTATAACTCCTGGCCACTTAATGGATCAGTATAGAACGTCCTAATTTTCAGGATGATGGTAAATGTTGCTTTCCCGATGTGCCTTTGAGCGAGTCGTGCCTCGATACAGTACTTTATGGACCTCTGGCACCGCTGGTCTTGCTGTGTTCTACTAGTGGCATCCTCAATGATACTAGGCACCTTTTGGACGTTTTGCCACACTGTGCTCTATAGTCTCCCTGATTTGAACACGAAATTGGGAAATTGGACACGAAAACTATGAAAATCATTTGCATAAGTCTAGATTTAGAAAAAAAAAATTCTTAAATACTACGCGCGTCAGGGCGGCTGACAGCTGGGTGGACAGCGCTTCGGATTCGTAGTCCTGAGGTTCCGGGTTCGATCCCCGGTGGAGGCAGAGACAAATGAGCAAAATGTTTCGTTCACCCTGATGTCCCTGTTACCTAGCAGTAAATAGGTACCTGGGAGTTAGGCAGCTGCTACGGGCTGCTTCCTGGGCGGGGAGGGTTAACAAAAAAAAGGAGGCCTAGTCGTGGACCGGGCCGCGGGGACGCTAAGCCCCGAAATCATCACAAGATAACCTCAAAGAGATATACTGACCCGGGAACATGGCTGTAGGTTTGTGGACTACGTTAAGAGATCACATAATAGGAGTGTGGCCGCTGGATTGTTTCAAGCGTAGGTTAGACAACTATATGACTAGCTGTGGCCACATATAATTAAGAACTGCTTGGCATAGTCCAGTGGTCCTCCTATAATGTCCATTATTATGACACGATCTTAACACCACAAACATGTAAACATAAGAAAGTAACTAGCCAAATAAATTAACAATTACAAAATCACCCAAATGGTAAATATGAAATGGAATGTAACTCCGGCCGAGTAAGGTGACGGGCAGCGTGACCACTGGTGCAGGAGACAGTGACGGGCAGCGTGACCACAGGTGCAGGAGACAGTGACGGGCAGCGTGACCACTGGTGCAGGAGACTGTGACGGGCAGCGTGACCACAGGTGCAGGAGACAGGAGACGGGCAGCGTGACCACAGGTGCAGGAGACAGTGACGGGCAGCGTGACCACAGGTGCAGGAGACAGGAGACGGGGCCGTCTGGGGGCGCGGCTCCACACTCATCACCCACCACAAGCGCCACACCAGAAATAAGTCATCATAAACAACGCTAATGAAGATATAACTCCTTATCGTGTTGACGCTGCCTGGGCGAGATGGTGCCGGCTTTGTCCTGGGTGTCCTGCCCGGCCCGGCTGGTCCCTAGGGATGGAAGACCTGCATCCTTGTGTGTGTGTGTGTGTGTGTGTGTGTGTGTGTGTGTGTGTGTGTGTGTGTGTGTGTGTGTGTGTGTGTGTGTGTGTGTGTGTGTGTGTGCGCTCCCAACATCGACCTGCTTTACACTGGAGTCCTGCCAGAAGCAAGACATCGTCTCCTCCTGCCTTACCTCACATCAGCTCCTATGCCTTCACCCTCCACCTCCTAACTACGTCCCAAGCTTACAAAAATATAGGACTACGGGCTATACATGCCCGTGCCACCTCTTGGTTGGCTTAATCTTTATCAATCAATCAAGTGCTATATAGTCGTAATGGCTGGGCGCCTTCTCTTGATAGTTTTCTTCCCTTGAGATACTTATGTGGTTGGTAGATGTGTAGTAGGAAGTAATGTCCTTGATCGCTACATATTGGTGTGTCTTTTTGACGTATAATTGAATTTAATTAAGCAGTTGGCCGCGAATTTCGTACTGTTGAGATTGATGTGGGTAACTCGTTAACTGTTAATTATGTTGGTCATTTCGTACTGCTAACTTCATGTGGGTAAGATTTACGGAATGTAAGACTAAGATCAATGTAGAGGGAATTGTATTCTTGTCGAGGGAAGTGTAGTCAAGATTAAATCGGCGAGTAGTGACATTGTTGTTAATCAAAGCTGAAGCCACAATGACTGTAGCTTACTATATTGAATTATATACGGTGGTAGTACAGATATTTGCATATAACTTTCTCTAATGTGTATGGTAATAAAGGTACATTGTATATATCGGTGTATACTGGTTTACGGCGGTTGTATCACCTGCCGGATGTATATCAAACCTGGCGTGTCATATCCCAAGACTTTTCAACAATATGACTACCAAGACTTCTGGAAGATGAGAACGAGTCATGCAGTGTCACACAGCTACCTCACCACACAGACTATGCTACCCTTCTTGTAGTCTACCTGCATGACTCTACATGTTAAAATACAAAACTTGAGTATAGGTGTATAGTAAACTAAAAATTATTAACAAAAGAGAAATAAGTTAAGAAATGACTAAAATTAACACGCTAAGAAAAATAAATTAATAAAAAATATCCTTAGGACTGTACTGCTCCACTAAATATTTGTGTGATTTCATTCTTTTGAGTTTTTCATGTTTCTTTGTCTGTTATCATACATTCGCTATCTTTCATTTGTTTACACTTATTTCTTAAACTGAATTCATTATCTGACACCCATTATCCCGTTTACCTTTATTTTCATATTTATCGTGTAATCTTCTATCCATATCCTTTATACCTTGTGCTCTATCCAAATCATGTTCTCTCTCTCATTTATCACTATTCCTTATCCTCTTTTTCTGTTCTCTGTTCTACATTATCTTATATTTTTTATCCAATATTCTCTAGCTTTAAATCTCTATATCCCCAATTCAGTTACCTATTCCTTGATGTCTATTGGGGTTGACGTATGTCTTTGTTATAATTACTAAAGCATCTTATATAGACAGATTTCTCCCCATCATCATCTTATTTCAGCGTCTCATATAAACATCTCTTCTCCCTTTCTTCCTGTCCTGCAGCATCTCATATAAACAGATCTCTTCTCCCCCTCTACTGCAAATTGCAGCCTCTGCAATCTGGCCTCTGCCACCCGTCCTGGAAAGGGAATATTTCCCCAAGACTGGAATTGCTGGAATCACATTGATAACATCTAGAGTGAATTGCAAAGTGGAAGAATGTTAGGAGAACTGGAATCGAATGAGGAATTATTCCGACATTACAAAGCGTTCTGAATGTATTCAGTGGAACGGAGACGGGGAGAGAGAGATCTGGTAATATATGCTTCTTGAATAATCAGAAGTTAGCGTCTTAATATGCACAGTAATCTTACTAGAGTGAGAGGTACAGTGGGTGTGGAACATAAACTTACTGGAGAGGTACGGTAAGAGGTGTAAGATATGGAACAAACCTCCCCATATAAACTAGGGGCGTCATTAGCACGATTAGAAAACACTAAATCGGCATAGAAGACTAACGACTCGTGAACCTTATACAATGGGGGAAAAAATCGGAACAAATGTAGAAGACTTGAGAGAACTAGACAAGTTGCTACAAAAGGCTACTGATCAGCCGAGCTGTGACGGCGAGACCAGACCACTCTAGGAACCAGTCACAGGTAAATGACAGTAAAATGTATTTTCTTCAATGTTGGGGAGACCTTGTGACTTGAGGACCGTGGCGATGACTTTACGTCTTGACCGCCTCTGCTCTGCCAGTAATATCCCCGGCGGTCACGACCTGGATACACTGGCCGGGTCAAGTGTTTTATATTTTGGGCCGCAGTGAGAACCCTGGGAGCCGTCTGGTGTGGCCACGACCACCTCACTCTCAGGGGTGAGGCTACCACCCCTTCTCTCTCTCTCTCTCTCTCTCTCTCTCTCTCTCTCTCTCTCTCTCTCTCTCTCTCTCTCTCTCTCTCTCTCTCTCTCTCTCTCTCTCTCTCTCTCTCCTCTCTCTCTCTCTCTCTCTC